TTACATATTTAACAACATTTGAAAAATTATTAGCTAAATTATGTTGTATAAGGAATCTTTGATCAAGAATTTAAGTATGTTGAGGTTAGGGTTCGAGTTATGAGAAAAAGAAATTAAGGTTCAAATTGAGGTTTTCAGAAGAAACAACTTACCAGTGAGAAAGAGTTACAAAACAACATCATTTCAAGTCCACATGGACGTCTACATATCACTTAATATGATAACTCAACAATCTGTCATATATTTTCAACACCTCTTATCGTTAGGGGCTAAAGTAATCGACATTTCTTAATTTTTGAGAACCATATTTTCAAATTTGTAATTTGAAAATGTAACACCCCTATTCTAGTTATTTATTAATTTTGTATTTTGTATGAATTGTTAATGCATGTTGTTTGAATTAGGAGAGTTTTAGGTGTGTGGTTGCAGGATTTCTCGCTATAGCGAGAAATGAGCGTTCAAAATCAGGCTCTTTGACGCTTTCTCACTGTAGCGAGGATGCTCTTGCTATAGCTATAATGATAGACAGCAAGAGAAATTTTGTTTGTTTTTTTGCTGCAGCAAGAAAAGGGCTCGCTGTAGCGAGAATTAGCTCATTGCAGTGAGAATGTTGCGAGTTGAGAGATTTTTAAGGGTTTCCAAGTTGAGAAACTTGGATTATAATCCAAGTTACGACCCCTCTTTATTCCCTCTGACCTTTCCTCCTTTTATCATAAAATACTTAAAAAGTTCCAATCTTTCTTTTATCCAAGCTTGGGTGTTCATTCTCCTAGCTATTTGGTAAGATCTTGAAGCTTAGTTCTCCATTCCTTTGGTTATTTTCTTGTTTTTCCTCCTCTAAATAGGATCTCTTATGATATTTAGGAAGAACCCAGCCTTTTGACCAAGATCTCTAAAAAACTTTTCACTAAACTTCCATTTCAAGGTAAGGAGAACTCTATCTTGTTACTAAGAACATGGTATATTTGTGCTAATGAAAATATGGCAATGTAATGTATTATTATAAATATATGTTGGATGAAAATATGTTTTTGTTGTGTTTGAAGATGTGTATGATCTATGTTTTGAGTGTATATGCATGTATGTTGTTGACTGAGTCCGGGGGTGACCAACCCTTGGCAATGATTGATTGATATATGATGTAGTAATGAACTTGAATAAAATAGAGAAATGAAGGGATGAATAATATGATAGTATACAAATAATGAGTTCATGATATAATAAATAATGAGTTTGGGCCAGAATGACTAATGAGAAGAGTAGATCCATAATGAGAAATATAGAAATGAGATGAAAAATATGGAAAGAGAAATGAAATGAGGAAGGAATATGATAAGAACAAGTATGGATAATTCAAAGGTACACTGGGGGTGTGGAAGATGGAAGCGATTGAGAAATCTTGAGAAAATGAAGGTGGTTGATGCTTTTCTTGAATTGCGCATAACAAATGAGAGTCAGAGCACCATAGGCCTCACACTTGTTTCCTGACTTAAACTCCTGACCACACTTTTGTTAAAAGGGGTCAGGTCGGCACATGTTGTATCCATGTAACTGCGGCTATCCAGCAAGTATCTATGCTAAGGAAGACCTGTAGGGATCCTAGGGGTAGTGAAAGTGTGAAATGAGAATTCTAAGTTTAATAAAGAGGGAATGTATTAAGCTAAGTAATTAATGATGGTTGCTTTTATATGAATATGATCTTGGGGCATGATGGTTTGTTGTATTGCCTTCATTTGTACTGTTGACTAAATTGTGAATGTATGCTTGGAAATGTGAATAGAGACTCATCCTTACACAACCTTTTAGGAAACAGATGACAGACCCATAGGAACTTATTAGCCTGTCCAAGTTACTTATTACTAGTAGAATAGACCTAGTAGCTAGGAAATGACAGCGGTTATGTCATTGTAGTTTTATTGTATGTAGTAATGATGAATTGGGTACTATATTTACTTTAGAAATGACTATAGGATATCATGTACCTTTAGATTATCTTGTATAGTTATATACAGAGGTTTGACTAAGCCACCAAATGCATGGAACTATGTGTACACCTTTTTGGACCATGACCAGCATGGGAGACCGGGTCATTGCATTACTGAGAGAATCACGGGCCTTGAGCTGGTAGCTGATGAGGGTGACCTCGATGAAGACAAGGACTTATCTCTAGAGGAGATACGAGAGATTGAGGGATGGTTTGGGGATGACAGCTAGTATCGCCTTTGGTCCTTTGGTGGATAGATTGCTCATTAAGACTTATTCAACTAAATCACCCTAATTCCTTAGGCAAAATTTAATTCAATGTTGCATTACGAATTATAAACCTTAAGATTGCAAAACTAAGATCACTTATCCCTAAGAAATCAATAATCTTGGTAATCAATTCAGATATGAGAAACAAATCCAATTTCCATCGGTAAAGGCTCCTCTTTGATTAATTAATTGAATTTCCATCCAAAGATTTACTTTATTAACAGAATTAACTACTCAATCCAATCAAACACTCGAAGTTCAGAGTTAAAATCAAATTAATACATCCACTTTAGATCCATAAATTCCTAACAAAAAGTTCATAATAACATTACAATGAGAGAAGGAAAAGCAAGAGAAGAATAAGATAAGGAGCAGAAGAACATCTTCAAAGATCCAATCTTCACCTTGATTCCTCTAGAAATGAAGGTTTAAAGTTGCTCCTGATCTCTCTCTCTAGCTCTCCTAAGAAGTTAAAACGAATGGAAATAAAAAAATGAGAAAAAAAATTCTAAATCTAAATTTCTAACTGCTATTTATATTTTTTCCCGCCACTCTTTGTGTTAACACTTTAATCACTTAAAGTTGTAACACAGAAGGCCTTCTGGAAGCTTCTAAGGCTAAAGTAGGAACTTTAAATGCCCAAAGTTGACACTTGAAAGATTGCGCATTAACACTCTAAGTATAGAGTTGCTATACGCGGCTGCGCGTTAACACTCTATACACCTAAAGTTGTTACACATAAGCCTTCTGCTGGAATTTGCCTTACGCATAGACACTTTCAGTGCTTAGAGTTGCTACGCGCATCTTTATGTTAATACTTTTAGTGCGTAAAGTTGCTAAGCGCAAGCCTCTCATGTGATTTAGCCTTGCACGTAGACACTTTCAGTGCTTGGAATTGCTACGCGTATAATCTTCATAGATTTTCTTCTTTAAAGTGTTAACTTTGAACACTTAAAGTGTTCACTTCGAACTTCTACATTTCTAGGAACCTCCAAAGTTGTTACTCTATGCACACAAAGTTGTACTGCCTAGCACATATCACTTGATTCTTGAGCTTTTAAGCTCAAATCTTCCACTTTCTTCATTTGAATCTCAACTTTAAAATCTCCAGCTCAAGCTTCTGCACAAAATTAACTCTTTTCAGCAGAATTATTGCAGAATTAGGATAAAATCTAAAATTCTAAACTATTTGCACAATTATGAATATAAATGTAATTTTTATGGTATTTTCATGTGTATTTATTATTTTACTACTTATTTACTATTAAAAACTAAGCTAAAAATGTAGTAAAATATCGATTTATCATCAACCTCTTGTAAATTTACAAGAAAAATGTATATTAATGTTATTTCAATGTTTCCTCTTAAATTTGTTTAATTCTTATTACTTTGTCATTTAAGTTTTTATAAGTTTGAGTAAAGTAAATGAAATGTTTTATATTTTCACACGTTGTACTTGGCTTGCAAACGAATTTAATTAAATTTTTTCTTCTTAACTCCAAAATTATTTTCTTATTATTTTAAATAAAATAAGAATGTTACAGAAAAACTAACAATCTGTCATATATTTTTAACATCTCTTAACTTCAGGAGCTAAAGTAATCGACATTTTTTTAATTTTTGAGGATTATATTTTCAAATTTGTAATTTGAAAAACTAACAATCTTTCATATATTTTTAACACCTCTTAATGTCAGGGATTAAAGTAATCAACATTTCTTAATTTTTAAAGACTATATTTTCAAATTTGTAATTTGGAAGATTATTAATATGTTTTTAACACCTCTTAATGTTAGGAGGCTAAAGTTATCGATATTTCTTTTAAATTTTGAGGACTATATATTTAAATTTATAATTTAGAAGACTAAAGTAAGAATTTATCCTTTTTAAACTCATTCAATTTGTCTAACTTACTAATTTACTAACTTTCTTAGAATAAAGTTATTTAACATGTTAATTAGACTATTCACTTAGTTGGTTCATCAATTCATGCTATAAGTTCTAAAACTCTACAATTTACACTTAATATTTGATAATCATCTCAAATTTAACCTTTTTTTTTCTTTAAACAAAACTTAAAAATAAATTTATTGAAAGAATTGTTTATAACCATACCTAATGCAGCTAATTTTGTAATTATTGAAAATTGGAGAATGATTTTCTCACACTAGTATAAGTTTAAAAACTTTTACACTTAGATCTGAACCTTTTATTTAACATATATCTAATATGTTATAATTTATTACTTAATTGACTGTTAGATATAAGTTAAATAAAAAGCTCAGATCGAGTGTAAGTATTTTTAAACTTACACTAGTGTGATAAGATCCTGTCCCATAAGATTTATATCGAGTAACAATAATCCTACTTTCCTATGCCTTAATTTTTATATTGATCTTATATCTCTTGTTCCAAACATTATCTATTAATCAATCAATTTATTTCTCTTTTGTTTCCATTTTTTTTCCTCCTAAATATGTACATCGAACAGACGGAAAAAAAATCATTATTCTTAAAACAAATAAATGAGACCATGATTTGGATAGAGCTGGGCCTTTACTGTGGGGCGAGAAGCTCACAGGTTTTTCTTTTAATAGTGAACGGTTAAGATGAAATGAAAGTGAAACCCAACGGCCAGGATGAAACCGCGATTGGAAGGGAAAGATGGAAAACGTCACTGCGATCGCAAATTGCGGCGGCTCTAAAAACTTGCGCGAGAGGCAAAGGAAAGGAGAGCGAAAACTGAGAGAAGTGTGTATTAATTAAGAATAAGGTTAGCCTAAAAACACATAGCAATAGGAATAGCATTGATTTTGGGTGGGAAAAGAGATGGTGTTGTGGGAGATTACACTTGCAACTGCGTATTTTTTGGGCCTCAAGCGCTCTTACAGGCTCGCCCTCAAGGCTCAGCGCAGGCTCCTTACCCCTAACCATTCTAAGATCCGTCACCTTCTTCACCGGTGCTCTTTCTCTTTTCCTCAAAGCTTATCCCTTTTCGTTTCTTTGTTTCATGCTCATTAGTTGTTGCTGTCTTCTGTTGTTTATTCCATCATTCAAGTGAAGACTGAGGATGGAAAAGTAGTTGGCAAGTATCGGTTTGTTTTGGTTTGGTAGTAAGCTTAGAAAACAGACCTTGTATAGTACTGGAAATTTGTGGGTTAAGGATAGATAATGATACTTTTTCGATTTTGCCTCTGTTTTGTTAGTATTTGTTATGCCACTTTTCTTGCCATTAAGCATCCAAATTCTTAAGTATAACCAGTCAGATATGAGCTGCAATCAGATTCTAGGGCCAATCATTTTGTAATTGTCTTTTGAGAGTGTAAAATACACGAGATCAACTATAAGCATTAGCTTTTTTCTACCTTGAACATAATCAACACATCAAATTGATTTTATTTTATGTTGGTATCTATTAGCCATGCCATAACACAATTTCTTTACTGGGTTTGATGTTTTGCAAATTCACAGACGAACACGTGCCGTATTTGGTGTAGCAATCAAAGTTCATCAGAGCATTCAAGAAAGAGACTTACAAGTGGGTCGGAATATGCAAAACTTCATTTTCGGATGGCTAGATCGAATGAAAACATCAGCAAAGACTCAGGGTGGATTACCCATCAATGGTGCTACCTCAAGTTTAAGAATGACGAAGCTTGTGGCTGCCCACAACCTTAAAACACCTGATCACTATAGATTGTTCAAGAGGGACACAGATAAGTATTTCTTTACCTCATCATCGATTATATGCCCAAAGCCTTTTCCCTACATTACAAGGATGATGCGACCACCAAATCCTGCTGGGACTACAGCACATTGCCGGCACTTCAACTTCTATGCTCCTGATGTTTTTAGTTCAAACTATAAAGTAAATTGGTCGCAGGGTGTTATTAGGAAGGACATCATGCAATGGATGTTACAAAACTAATGGCCGTTTTCTATTCTGATGGGTGAAGCAGTGGCTACAACACATCAGTGTGGCAGATGCTGAAATGTGATGGGCGATGAAAACTTGTTGATATTTTCTTTCCCAAACCTAAACATTATTTCTCTTTAGTTTGTTGTGCTGTTTTATGGAGAATGGAGAGCTCATTCTCCTTGATAAAGCTCAAGACTATGCAAAGTCCAGCAACAATAACCCTAAACCCTAAACCAAGACTATGCAAGTCCAAAGAGAAATAAAAGCAAAAATAACGAACATCTGTTTGTAGCTTTGGTTTATAGAGAACCAGCGAACTAGTGATGTAGATTAGACTGTTGTCTAGTGTGTTATTATTTTGTAATTTTGATTTCATACTCAGTGTTTGATTTTAGATTAATTTTAGGGATTTTTCTTAATTAGCGATTCTACTTATTTGTTGGATTTGATTAGTTTTTATTAAATTGTGGTTAGATTTTATGTAGCTTGAGCTTTATCATGTTCGTGCGTTGTTGGATTATGTATAGTCGCTCACTGTTAACTGAGTAGTTTTTCACTTTTGAATAACAATGATTTCTATTTATAGAATATCTAAGATTGAGTTGGAAGAGTACTCTGCACTCGGAGTATTTATCATAGGTTCTTGCCCTTTTGTTCCACATCAACTAGCAGCAACATAGTACGTAATGAACCAGCTGAATGGGGTAGGGGGTAAACAAGTTGGGTAGAGTCGAATACATGAAACTCAAGTTTATCTTTTAAAAAAATAATACTCAAATTTGTCTCATTTATTTTAAACAAGATAATTTGAAGTTTGAACTTGTCTAACTTGTTTACTTTTCTTTTTAATAAACTTTGAATAAAATTTATTGATTAATTTAGTATTTAATCAAAATGTTTATTTTAAAATATTATATAAATTATTAATAAAATATAATTTTATTGACATGAAGACGCATTAATATTAGAAACAATTTTTTATTATAAAAATGGTAGAAACCTTTAAAAGAAATTATGGTCATTTTTTTTATAATATAGCTTTTGAAAATTGAAATTATGCAATGTTATATACACAGACGCACCTAAGTGATAAAAAACAATTGAAATTATATTTTTTTAAGTAAATATAACAAACAAAATTATATATAAATATATATTATTTATGAATAATTAACGTTAAGCTTATAAATTTTAGACTCAATTTATTTAAATAATTAAACTTATTTTGTATGTATTAAAGACACCATTTTGTGAAATTCATTTAAGTTTTTTGTTTAAGAGTTTGAAAGAAGAGAAAAAGAAAAAAGTTTAAAGAGTAAGAGCGGAGAAGAAAAGAGAGGAAGATAGAGGGTTAAACATCTTTATCCACTACAAAAAAATCGCTTATTTGTGGCGGTTAAATTTATGATTAGCGGCGGTTTTAATCGCCTCTAAATATTTTTTCGGCAATTATAAAACCGACGTTAAAATTGGCGACGCAAAGCTAAATTTGTGGCGGTTTTAAACCGCCGCTAAATTTTTAAATTTGTGGCGGTTTTGAACCGCCGCTAAATTTAAAAATTTGTCACGGTTATTTAGTGGCGGTTCAAAACCGCCGCTAGAATTTGAAATTCAAAGTTTAGGCTGTGCACGACAGTGTTCTATTTTTGGTGGGGCAACGTTTTATTTTTGGCCGGCAGTGCTTTATATTTTGCTCCCACACTTTTTTTCGTTTTATCTTCTACTGAGTTCTTTCTTTTGCTATTTGGTTCACATTCCATTTATTTTTTAACATCACAACATATATATTATATAACTTATAGTGTAGAATCGTTGGAGAAGAGCCATTTTTGGAGGAAGTGAAAATGATAGTAGAAGATTACCAAGGTTGTCACGGTTAGAGAAAATATTTTGGCAGTGACAGCAGTGCGGCAGTGGCGGCAGGGGTAGCGGTGGCGACAGTGGTGGCAGTGGCAAAGAGAATGGTGGAACTCATGAGGCTAAGGTAGAGATGAATGATAACTTTGTGTGGGTGATGAAGAATGGGGGAGGAGTGGTGTTTCTTATATACTGTTATCGTGAACTGATGCTAAATCCCGCCTTTTTTGTGGCGGTTTTGCAAAACCGCCGCTAAATACCGCCTATTTTATGGCGGTTCTATAAAATCGCCGCTAAATTCTGCATTTTTTGTGACAGTTACACAAAACTGCCACTAAATCTTGTATTTTTTGTGGCAGTTACTAAAACCGACGTTAAATGTTATTTTCAAAATAATTGACTGGCGGTTATTATTAACCGCCACTAAATAACGTATTTCTTGTAGTGATCTCTCGTTTGAATATTTAATATTAAAAGCGAAAGGTAATGGAGTTTAATTATATAAATAACTTTATTATTATTTTATATTTTTTATTTATATATTTATATATATATTTTCAAAAAATACAAAATTAAATTTTTTTCTCTCTAAAAATTAATATTTTTATGTTTTATAATTCTTAAAAAAATCTCATTCTAAAAATTAATATATTTTGAAAAATATTTTTATTTTTTATTATTTTCTTTAAAATTAACATCACACGTTTTTAAAAATATTTATTTATTTTACTATTTCATTGATTTAATGTTAAAATTGAAGAAAAAAATGATAGACCAAATCAAAGACATTTCAAATCACATTCACCTCATTCAAATTATTAATTAAGTAAAATAAATAAGTATTTATTATCAATCATATATTTAAAAACACGTTTGACAATTATATCTAAGATATTGACAACAATTTCAAAGCTCTTCCAATTTAACACATCAATAAATGAAAAGTTATAATAGTTGACAATATGATAATTGAAACACAATCACAATATAAAAAATACCTTATATAAGTTATGTTCTTTTCAAAGCCTTTAACATGAAGGTAGAACTTACTTTCTAGCAACTCATCTGTGTATGATTTTTTGAGCCATCCATTGTGAACAAAGATTTTTTAATCAATTTTTTCATGTCTCAAGAAACTATACATGTATAGGTGAATTAATTGCTTTAGCAGAGAATACTAGTTTTTTCTTGTGATTGAAAAAAAAAGCAATAAAATGAGTTTTGTAACACCTTAAATTTGATTTTAATTAAATAATAATTTCGTAAATTTTAATAACCAAATTTTCATAAGATATTTTGAAATAAGATGGGGTTACAAATTAATATCAAATAACAGCTACAAGACTAGTTCAATTACAACGTTTTCAAAATAAAATCTAAGTCCTATAGCAGTCCATCCGTCCCTTCACTGAGTTCGGTGCTGATCATTTTGATTACTTGAAAAATGAATGTAAGGTGAGTACTCTACACTATTCAATTCACAACTATCATAGAGTCTCACCTTGCCTATACTTCACACAAAGTACACATAAATAGCATTTTCATTTCAATTTGTCACTGATGCACTCATGGCACCAAACAATCATATATATATATATATATATATATATATATATATATATAAAATTAACAAACAATAGTCCCGTACACTCACTACACGCTAGCCACGCTCACTGTGGCACTATGATCACATATTTTACTATAGATGGTCATCTGTTACCCCCGCCTCACAGATACCACATGGGCAGTCATAGGTCGCTCTACAAAGGTAGTGGTCAGAGGTCTAGTCAGGAAGAGAGTATGTGGCCCGTGGTGCACCCGTTTCACAGTCGGTGTCACCACCACTCTCTCCTCCCCAAGGTATTTTTATCGTTCTTATCTTTCACACTCCCAGTGTATCGCTAAACCATTCACAACACATTATAACGACACCAACACGCCCCATTCAGATACATTTCATTCACACACAATATTCATGCTTACACACGGCACACAACCTATATTTAATATAGTTACACGACACATAACCCATATTTTATCCACAACATACGGCACATAGCCTTCATTTATTCATGATAACATTAATTCACCAATCAATGACATTCCATCATACACAATCACCCCCACGAGGCCTAACTATTCCAACACACAATCCCTATCCTCTATCTCAGTCACATAGCAATATTCAACAAAACAACAACAAATCACAACAATGAGATAGGGTAGAGTTCCCCCTTTACCTTGAATTGAAGACCCATACTTGAACTTAACCTCAGACGTGCTCCCCACACAGATCTCGGCCTAAACACATGGAAAAACTCCATGAAAACCCAAGGAAATCAAGAAAACAGAGAATAGGGGTAAGAAACCGAAACCCTAGTCATTAAAACTTAGCTCCAAACGTCCTAAACGTGATTTTAACCTTTAATCTAGCTCTCAAACGGCCTTGGAGGTGATTCAATCGGTAAGAATGAGTTTGGGATTGAGAGAATCATAGAAGAGAGAAAGGAAAACGTAAAAATAACCCACTCCTCGAACCCTAACCCTTCAAATACCCTTCTGCTCGCGACACTCTTGCTATGGCGAGAGACCTCGCTGTAGTGACACACCATGGACTCAGAGGAAACTGCACTCTGGTTTTTGCAGAATCTCGCTACAGCGAGACTGCACCTAGAAATGCATCCCAAACTGTTGCTCTGTCGCTACAGCGAGAAGGCGACCGATTCGCCCTTTCCTCCTAGAGGTCGCTCACTACAGCGAGAACACCCTGCACTTGGGCACTTAGCCCATTTTTAGCCCAATCCAGTCATGCATACACATATATATACACACATCCATAACATATATCCAAATATACATATATATACAATAATTTATATTACCAAAATTCAGGGCATTACAAGTTTGAGTTAATATCATTGCATATATACGTTATCGTAATGCTTCATCTAAATATCTAATCTATTTTGACAATTAGAAATTAACTCTAATAGATAAGATTTTCATTTCCTTTTTCCTCTCCAAGCTAATGCAGCAACAAGAAAAAATAAACAAATACTTACTATCAATTATGTACTAGAAAACATATACCAATCATACCTTTAACTAGATACTAGTTGTAACACCCTTTTTTTATTAATTACTATTTGATAAATTGTCTTAATGTTTGGATGTGTTTTAATTTGAATTGTTGAGTGTTTGATAGAGGTCTGGTCTAATTAGAACCACATGATTTCAGAGCATTCTCTTTCGAGTGAGAATAGGATAGACTTGGTCTAATTATCCCCTCGCCCAAGCAAGAAGTGATCTCACTCAAGCGAGTAGAGATCTTGCCTAGGCGAGATGAAACTCACTCAGGCGGCCCTGTAGAAAAGATTGAGTAACTTTGTAGACACCTTTTCACTTAGGCGAGAATGACCCTCATCTAAGTGAAAATATAAAAAAAAGTCTATAATGACCATTGTCTAATGTTTTCACCCAGGCGAGAGTCTCCTTGCTCAAGCGAGAGTACGTGAGTTGAGGGGTATTTAAGGGATTTCCAGCATAAAAGCTTCCATTTTTCAACTCAAGTTACATTCCCTTTTCATTTTCTCTAAACTTCCATTTTCTTTTCTCAAAGAAACTT